CAGAGTTGAAGTGACACATGGGGGAGGAAAATTTGGAATTTATTCATTATAAAATATGAATTCCAAAGGGTATGATGGAAGGAGTAGGCAGAGTTGAAGTGGGACATGGCGGAGGAAACGTTGAAGATAAGAGATGATGAGGATGAGAGAACAGCAGGTGAGAATTGGGAAAGAGGTAGTTTACATAGATGGCCATCTATGATTGTGTATCACAAGAGATTGGAAGAGTAACAGGTAATGAAGGTTTACTAATTTAAGGGGCAGCTGGGAATGGGAACTGCTCAGCTGAAGATGGCAGATAATTAGAAGACAGTGTTCAGAATCTTCATTTATCTATCTCCTGATCTTAAATGGGGGAGAGTCAACTCATAGTTCTGGGTGATCAGAGAAGGAGCTATAGGCAGGCTGCCCAGTGCAGGGCTAATGGTCAGGACAGTGGGAGAAGGCAAGCTCGTTGGATTTATCCATTTTAAAGTTAGGGATAGGGACTGCAATTTCACTGGGGTAGGGAGTTCCCAGTGAGGAAGTTCCTATATCAATGCTTGGTTTTTTTTTTGGTACCTTCTCTGCAACTTATGTTCTTGAGTTGCCTAATTTTGTAAAAGAGTTTGGAATTATGCCATGAAAGTGACTAAAACATTCATACCCTTTGACCCAGAGACTGCACTGCTGGCCACCCACCTAAAGGAGATCATTGTTGTTGTTGTTTGTTTGTGTGTCTTCCTTTGTTTTTTGAAGAGGACAAATGACATCATGAGAGTGATGTCTTGACTTGCACATAAATTGGATTTAAGTGAGGCTGGGCTATGCAAAGTCACCACCCTCACTGTCTCCTCCAGAGTCATCAGAATCTAGTGCAAGACAAAAGTCAAGATGAATGGCAATGGCCCAGGATGTACTGAGTGACCTTGACCTTTTTAAACTAAAGTCTTTCCCTGGTTTCAGTTTGTCTGAGGTAATGCCCAGTCAGTGATTAAGGACTAGGTAAAAATTGAGACAAAAAATGACCTCCTTTGCTATCACAAAAGAATCAGTCTTGGAGGGAAAGATCCTTAGAGTTTCTGGCCAGAACAGAAAACAATTGCTATTTACACTCTCTCTGAGCCATCAAAACACAAACAATGAGTGAGAGAGGCTTGGGCTGGGACCTATTCATTAGCCATTCCAAGAAAGAGTGATTTGGATTTAAAGGAGTAGTTAAGTAGCTCCATTTGTATCCCAATGGGCTTATCCAAAGCCTGTTTTTTCAGAGCTATATTTCAAGAAATCATAAATGAAAACTGCAAAACAAAGAGTTAAGTGGCCCAGCTTTTTGGAAGAAAAATAATGATGAAATAAGTAAAAAATACCCAGCTCCCAAACCCCAAGATATATAAGTGACTAAAAATTATATTCCTTGGAAAGAACACCCATATGTATGATGCCCCAAGTGGGGAGAGGGACCACATGTGGCAAGGGAAGAAGGAGAAGGAGGAGGAGAAAGAGAAAGAGAAGGAGAAGGAGGAGGAGGAGGAGGAGGAGGAGGAGGAGGAGGAGGAGGAGGAGGAGGAGAAGAAAGAAAGAAAGAAAGAAAGAAAGAAAGAAAAAGAAAGAAAGAAAGAGCGAGCAGCATTGCCCAACTTGAACAGCCAGGTCCCTAGAGGGTAGCTACTACTGTTTACAGCACAAGGGTGATGTCTGGACTTGTGCATTAACTGGATTTAAGTGAGGCAGAGCTGCACAAAGTCATCAGCCTCACTCTTTCCTCCAGAATCATTGGAGCCCAGTAGCAAGACAAAAGTAAAAACAACTGGCCTAAAAAGAAGATCAAAGACAAAAAGAAAGGTCTTGTACACACTAAATATTCATAGCAATACTTTGTGGTAGCAAAGAACTGAAAACAAAGTAGGTAGTGTCCATCTTTTGGGGGAATGGCTATATGATTGTGACACATGAATGTTATGGAATTTGCTGTGTCATAAGAAATGATGAATATGAAGGACTGAGAGAAGCATGGGAAGATAATGAATTGATACCAATCGATACAAAGTGAAGTAAGCAGAACCAGGAAAGCAATATATGCAATGAGTATAACAATGTAATGGGGGGGGGAGGAATCGATTTGCTGTAATAGTAATTACTAACCTTGGCTCTGCAGTAGAGATGAGACAATGTACCACCCTCAATTCTTTGTATAAGTGGAGGACTATGAGTATGGAACAATTGTATAGATGGTCACATTTGATTGATGTGTTTTTTAGTTTTGCTGAACTGTTGGGTTTTTTTTCTCTTTCTTTTTAAATTCTTTGTTACAAGGCATGGCTCACTAGGAAGGAATGGAATATATTCAGAAGTGAAGGTGAGCAATGAATTGAAAATAATAGTATTTCCATCTGATACCCTTTTAGGCCAACCTTTGATGAGATTTCCCCAGGGAACTGGGTGCAGGTTTGAGTCATACATAAAATGGAAAATGCCTCAAAAACACAATCGAGATTATTTGGGCTATACACATCTCAATACAAGAGTTACACATACTTTTAGGAAAGGCAGAAAGAACAATGCAAAACTAAGCAATAACATGGCTCTCCATAATGGTTAGAATTATGGCCATAATGTTCAGTCTTTTTAGCCTCAGAAACTAATTCATTCTTATTGAACGTTACATGCACTGGTTAGATAAAAGTACCATGAAAAAGGGATGCTGAGGGGATTTGTTATAAGTGTCTTAATTGCCTAAGTGTCTTAATTGAAGTAGTACCTTATTTTACATTAGAAAATAACAGACACTGGGAGAATAATTCTTCAAAAAATAATAACAATGCATCCTCATCATAGTAATGGCTTCAAAGTCAATATATTTAAGGTAAAGTTGGGCAAGTGGCCTTTTGATTTCACCGACATCTTCCAGTGCCAGAGTATACAGTGATATTTTGTTTTCAGGAAACTATATAGAGAATATTAATAATAGCCAGAATTTAATTTGAGCTTTGCCAAGTGCTTAATATCCATTATCTCATTTGATTCTCACAATAATTCTGGAAAGCAGGTGCTATTATAATCTTTTTAATAGATGAGGAAAGTGAGTCTGAAAAAGGTTTGGTGATTTGCCCAAGACTAAATAGCTTGTAAGTTTCTGAAGGATTCAAGTGCTTGTATATACTATCTTGCCTACCTGCCTCATTAGGAGATTTAAAATTTTGTTGGGAAACTGTAGAACATACTAAAAATGTTTCTCTTAGCCAGCTGCCAAAATGCCAAGTTTAGGCACTTTTGGCACACACCATCCCCACTTGTCTCATCTCAGTCTTTTGAACTCCTGAACATCCTATAAGAATCAGCTTAAATATTACCTCCTCCATTAAAGTCTTCCCTGATCCTTCCAAGTCAGAATAGATGTTGCCATTACATCAACCATCACAGAATTTTTTTTTTGGTACATCTCTTTGGCACTTAGACATATCTACCATGTATTATAATTCTTAGAGCATATTCTTATCTCCTCTACCAGATTTTAAGCTCCCTGAGATGAGGGCCTTGGTTTTATTTCACTTCTTATCTCCTCAGAGCCTAGCATCATATCTAGTACATAGTAGATTCTTCAGAAATAAATTTGTAATAAGTTAGTTAAATGTGCGCCTACCTCAGTGTTATAAGATTAAATGAGCATTTGTAGTTTTATAACAGAAAGTTCTATAAAACTGTTAAATATAATTATCATTATCTGTTATCTATAATACTGTTTTAGATAAAACAATAATGTTTTAGAAAATGCCAGCAAAAAATTATAATCTGAGATAGATAGCTGAGTTAAAGTTCCATTTTATCCTAGGAATCTGCTATTAAAAATTAGCAAATTTTCAACTGCTTGAGGAAAATATGGTAGGAAATTTTTTACTCAAATGCAAAGGAAGGGGAAATATCACATGTCATCATTTGTACATAGTATATGTGAACTAATACTGGTAGATTTCTAATACTCATGTAATAGCTGAGGTTTTTCCCCCACTCATTTCACTTCATGTCTTACTAAAAACTATATTTAAGCATTTCTGTGCGACTTGTAGCTCTGTAGAATGTGCTTTGGGACATTTGAACTCTAAAAATAGTACTACTAATTTTTAAAGGATGACTCGTATTGCTATCAGGCTATAAAACTATTTTGTGAAAGTGACTGACTTAATTGCCTGATTTTCCTTCATTTTGCTGATAGACTATACTGTGTTCATCAATTGGTTTCTTAATTTGCACAAAGAAAATGGAATCTCAGAAGTAATTGAAACTATTTCAGTCTGTTGCTGTAAGAAAAAATGCACATGATTTCCAATTATTTCTACTCATATGATATATGATTTTTTGTATAGCTTTTTCATCTATACACATGGCTTTTTAAGTTAAATGAATTTAAACCTTTATACTGAGAAGCGAATTTTAGCCAAATGGTCATTATAGATGCTGTGCTTATATTTTAGGAAAATGTTATTAGTTTGGGAGAATTCCTAAGAAATTCTATCACATAACATTTCTAATTATTATGACCATTTTACTTGCTATTCTCCCTTGATTTTTCTTTCTATTGGTCTTTTAAAAAATATTTTGGTATAGTTTATATCAATGAGGTATAGGAGCTAATTATTATTTTTATGAAACACAAATATATGTGTAGTAGTTTAATGCATTCACTGCATTTAAATATTTATATACTGTAGCTAATTTTTGACCTGTATCTGTTGGCCATTTAGAGGGGCAGGTAGATTGATTGGTTCCCAAATGCCATATAATTACTCTTTCTTCTTAAATTCGATTGACCCCTTTCTGCAGGTCTTAGCAAGGCAGACAATTCATGGATAACTTAGAAATTCAGTCAAACTGTGGTAAACTATTCCTCCAACCCTTTTATCATTCATCTAAATGCTTAAAGCCGGTATTATGATACTGATAACACAAAAAGAAAAACATGTTCAAAGATCAATATTCTTTCTTTCCAAATATATTGTTGAAAAATGTAGTGTATTATTTACCTGATTCACATGGTCCTTTGTGTTTTATGCTAACATTGGTTTTCTTCTGAGAATAAACCTCATTGAACTGGCAAATATTCTCATAGGTCTTCCCCTCAGGTCCACAGACACTTTCCTGGGATCCACAAACACACTGTGGTTCAGGAACTTCCCCATACTCCATCACCTCAGCGTCTAAAATGCACTCCAGGTTTTGCCCACACTGTCCATAGAAATGATTGCTGCCATCCAAGTCACAGATCTGCCCTTCTCTATTTCCGCATTCAGAGCAGCAGCCACAACGGTCTAACACAGTCCCAGCCAGGCAGTTTTCAGGCTGAGAACAAAGTTCTAAATCACATTTTCCACAGTTATCTCCTTCCGTTAATAATCTCAGCCAGCTTCCATGATACAAGGTGGGAAGACTCTGGAAAACTTGTATCAGGACCATCAGCATTGCTGTGCTTACTAGAGGCTTCATTTCTAAAATGAAATGAACACAAGCCTAGGATCTTTGGTTTCAAGCCAAAGAGGAGAAAAAAAAACACACATTCCTTCTTTTTCCTCCTTCTCAAAACAAATCTGCAGCAACATAGATTTAAAAACAAAATTAACATCAGATTTCAGGTCTGGAATAGATAAGTAAAATATCCAAATCTGCAAGTATTTTTCTGGGTTATAATTTTGAGAAAGACTTTGCTTTGTATATAAGACAAAACTCTTCTCTTGACAGCAGAAGTGTAGCTCTCTAAAATGCCTCTGACTTTTATGGGCTCTGTAAGGCTAATTTGGAAGCACTTGCTTTAATAGAATACAACTGTGTTGTGATTATTTAATATAAGCCTCAGTTTCCTTATCTGGGGTATAGTATAAAGAAGGCTTAGTTCTGAGTTGGGGACTGAGGTTTGTATCCTAGCTGCACTTGGCACATCCCTTAACTTCCTTGAATGAAGGTGTTGAACTAGATGAAATGGGCTTTAAGGTTTTTTTTTCCAGCTCAAATCTGTGATCCCATGATGGTATGATTAGCTGATCTCTAAAGTCCCTTATGAGTCTGTAATTATTAAGTATTAGTGTTGTGAGCATATATATCATGGAGCTTAGCTATAAGGGTTATTGCTAGAATACCAAAAGACTATAAACCAACCTAATTGACATGAAAGCACTAGGGGTCAAGTGGGATTTTCTACCATTGTTAATATACCATGAGGCCATAATAAACATTAAATAATAATCATTCATGATCATTATAACAATAACAGTGCATCTGTGAAATAAATTATTCTAAAAACAATTAATATATTTCAGCACTGTAACCTTTTGGCCATATATTGCTCTATTGGCCTGTCTGTGACTCTTGTTAAATCATGTAACTGCTGTCTGCAGAACAGTGATTTAAATTAGACATATAGATTTCCATCTAAGTAAGACAGATGAAGTGAGATAACAGAGAGGGAATAGCACCGCTTCGGGAGCATAGGGAATTGATTTTGGTTTTCTTTATACAACTGGGTTCATTTTTCTTAGATTCATAATCTGGTATTGATTGTTCTATTGAAAGCAAGGAGTAAGGTATAGGAGTAAGATACCAAAGAGGCCGATTATGAGGAGGATTTGGATGAGAAACAGCTGAGCTAGATGATGAAAAATGAAAGGGACAAATGCCAGACATGGGTTGCTATGTTGAATAAGAACTGCTGAAAGGTTAATTAATAATAACAATAATAACAGCAACCATTTACACAGCACTTAAAGGTTTTTGAAGCACTTTACATACATCATCTCATCTAATTTTCACAACAACCAAGAGAGGCAGGTGCTGTTATTCCCATTTTACAGAACAGGAAACCAAGGCACAGAGAAGTTAAGTGAAAAAGGATGAATTGTTGAAAGTAAAATAATAATCATAATCTAGCACTTCCATAGCACTTAAAGGTTTGCAAAGCAGACCTTTATGTGTTATTTCATTGATCTTCACAACAAGGTGCTGTAATTCCCATTTTACAGAATAGGAAACTGAAGCACAGAGAGGTTAAGTGACTTTTACAGTGTCATATGGCTTATAAGTGTCTGAGGCAAGTACAAACTCAGGTCTTTCTGATTTCAAGTCCAGTCTTCTATTAACTATACTACCTAGTGGCCAGGAAAAGGAATGATCTAGATAGAATGAGGAGGGTCGAATGGTAAAGTAAATAAGACGAAGTCTTGAGCCCTCTCTTCCCTTCCTTCCGCCCCCCAACCCATTCCAATTCTAAAGCAAGCTATTATATAAACCTCCCTATTCTGTACCAACAAATCTTGGAGAAACTCTCCCTGTCTCCCAGGGTGTTCTGGTTCGGAATCAGGATAAGATTATACTCATTTAGGAATGGGTGCTGAGATCAATCAGGCATTTATTAAGTACCCTTTTGTCTGCTGTATTCAAGCAACCTCAATGGTGGTAAGAGGCCTGTGCCTTCACTGGGGCTATTATTGGAAATCTCTTCCTCCTTCTTCCCCTCCCCCTTCCCATAACTCATTTATGGAAATGGTTGGAGCACTGAATAGGCATAATAGGGGAGCTACAAAATTCATAGACATTGTCTCTGTCCTAAAGGAGATTTCAATATAATGAATTCAATACTGCCAATAAATGAATTAATAATTTATGTTAAATACTTATTAAGAACACACAGTTGAAATCCACACTGGAGGTGACAAAATTTTTAAGACATTTAGGGATAAATTTTCAATATATTTTAATAAAATAATGCCCCCCCCAAAATGAAAAATAATCATGAATGGTATTATTATCCCAAAATGCAACTGAAATGACATCACATGGTCTCAGGAGAGGTAGAGAAGGAAGTGGTTCATAGGCCCTCTTTCCTTATTGCATGGTATGAATGAAGGAGTCTTTCAACCTCAAATGCAAATGCCACAAAAAGTCCCTAGTTGCTGAGCCAGGCTAATTTTAAAGATGCTAACAGTTCTGGGTTTGCAACCAATGGAAAAGGGCTGTTCTCAACTATGTGGTAAGCCAGTACAGAATGTCCACTCATATTCCAGTCTCCCAGAAGTAGATTCGTGATGTCTTCTATATATATGACACTATCTTAGGTAGTCTAGGCATGTACCAAGCCTCCATTACATATATAAAATCTGCAACAGATTTCACACGCTAGTGGGGAAGGAAACATTCAATGGACATCTCATTTTCTGAGGTGAGGAAGACTATCATGGTCCGAATACCTCCCTCTCACAGATCCATCTCCCAGTAATCATTTGCCCCAACTGCTTCTCTGTTTTGACTCTTGTGGCTTTCTTGGCATGGTATTGTAGCTCCCATTGTTCTGCCAATCCATATTGCCTTTGTAGCCACTGATTTCAACCTCCATAGCTCTTAATTGCTGATAAACCATTTTTCTTGAAGTAGTTTTGGAGATCTCATTTCTTTCTGTAAAATTACATCAGGTCAACAGTCTCAGGGGCTAGTTGGTACATTTTCAACCATTTTGTCAGTCAGGTCTCACTATATTTAGCTGATAAAAATGGGGTCAAGACTTTGCCTCTTTACACATGTTCTCTCCCTCATAGAAATGGAGTAGAACAAGGAGAACAATTTATACAATCATAGCAACATTATAAAGACAAACAGTTTTCAAAGACTTAAGAAATCTCACCAACATAGTGACCAGTCCTGATTTCAAAGAACCAGTGATAAAGCATGCTACCCATCCTCTGACAGAGAGGTGATGGATTCAAAATATGGAATGAGACATACATTGTTGGACAGGACCAATTAGTTTTGAATTAGTTTTTAATTAAATTAATTTTGAATTAGAATTAGTTTTGCTTGACTGTGCCTATTTCTATAAAGGTTTTGTTCTCATTTTTCAGTTTGGGATGGATAGGAGGGAGAGAAAATAAATGTTTGTTGATTTTTTTTTAAATAAAAGACACTGAAACCCCCCCCCCAAGTTTCTAATTCTTAGCTGTAATTGAGTTAAGGCACATCAATTCCTTATACCACTTCCCTATGTGCCCCACTTTCTTCTTCCTCTTCCTTCTCTCTCCTCCCCCCCCCAACATGATTCATAACTACTAGTGAGCTTTTCTGAGGTTGGATATAAACCATGCACTATTTTTCATCTGCTCTTTCATCCTCCATAATAGCTTTGGCAGCTAACACCCAGACTATACAGATTGCCTTGAAGTTTTGTCTTGATAAGCTTCAAAGTAATCAAGGAGGCACTTAGTCATACTGGAGGATGAGGGCAGAGCTGAGGACCTTTGCCCTGAATTCCTACTCTCATAGTAAAAATTCTTGCCTCTCTTACTTAAATATATCTTGAAGACCTACTATGTACCCATTACTATGTTAAGTACTGCAGAGAACTAGAAGGGAGGGTTAAGACACAATCCTTACTCTCTTTTAACTTAGAGTTGCATTTGGCTTCTAAGCAAAATGTAATTTTAGGCAAGGTGGGTGGAAGGTAGACTTGCTACATCTCTCTCAACACACAGTAAATCAGTTCCATTAAGGGATGGTCATTAATATGAAGAAATAGATGAGAAAAGAAATAAAGAGGGTGACTCTAACAGTATTATCTTTCCACAAAAAAGGAAATTCCTCAGAATCCTCACACTCCTTTTTTGTTGCTCATGTTGCAGGGGTAACTAAGGAGTTTTATTGAATTCAATCCCAGGACAGAAAAAGTGTGTTATTCACAACCCCTTTCTGGGAAAAATAGGGCATTTCAGAGCTCCTCACTGTAGGATGTGAGTGGGGAACATTCTTTGTAACCAAGTTGGAGTTTCTAAAAAAAAAAAAGGAGCTTTGCTAAATGTATCTAGCAAGCATTTCGTCTTCCCTTAAATAAAATAAATTCCCTTAATAAAGCCAATAGAGTCAGGGTTTGGGGAGGGGGTGGTGATGGTGAGGGTGTTTATGATTAATTACAGAAGAAGAAAGAAAGACTTTATGCTGCTGAACTATCTTCTGAGAACTGCTGGCTCTAAAGCCAAGCTGTACATTGGATTCCCTTTCTTGTGCCAATCTTACATTTTTAAAAAACATAACTTTTATGAATATCATCATTAGTGCTATAAGCACAGGGAAGTATAAGTTAATTCTACAGTAAAGTGATTATTAAATCCATTAGTCATATACAGGGGATCCATAATTAACTTATTCTCCAGCATCAAGTAAATGATTCTACTGTGTGCTTTAAGAAAGCAATTGTTCACTAATATGCAAAATACAGCAAGGCTATTAGATCATAAAACCATGCAATCTTATAATTAAATTATAAATTTTACATATTTTAATAATGTGCTTTATATATTTTAATTGTTTTCTACATAAGATTAAAAGGAGATGCCACGATTTTTCTAAGACATATTATATCTAGCCCTGAACAGTGCAATGCTTAATAATAAGTGATGAGTATCTACTGGGGATGACAGCAGTCTTTC